GCATCTTGCTAGCTTGTTCGGCATAGTAGGGCAAAGGACACAATTAATTAAGCAAACGCACACCTCACACTACCATATAAGTCCGAGAACTGATACAAATAATATCACTACACCAACTAACTTGTTAGCATCACAACGAAGATACATCCATTACTGCTTAATCATCCGACAGCATGGCGTACATCTTGCCTGCAATGATCCCAAGCGATGCCAAGTCGGGACCAGTGGGCCCAACGGCCAGGGTACACTCGTCAAGTTCAATCACGCCGTTCAAGCTACGCAGAAGGTTCCATCGGAGGCAGTCGGTCACAATCCCAAACACTTGGTCGAGGTGGCCAAGTTCAGCCTGCACTTCACACCCCAGCAACACATGCGCCATCCCTGCAGACATATTGTCTTTCGTTACCGTCGTAATGCACACAGTCTTGTCCCCCCGTCGAAGCACAAACTCCAACTCCCCGTGCGCCTTGACATATACCCCCTTGACGTATTCGTCCACTTGAATCTTCGCGTCGCCGTTGAACAGGGAGCACACGCAGACAAGGATCGGGGCGACCACGTGAACTCGGGCAGCGTCGTTCTCATGAGTGATCGGCTCGAGGCACTTCAATGCCACCGACAGATATTGGGCTAGCGAGGCAAGTTGTGCATCGGGCAGGGGCTTGTATGGTTGGATGTACGGTGTCGGCTGAAACACCCTCCGCACTTGCGACCACGTCACCTCAGCGAATGCAATCGACGAGGTGTTATGGGCAGCAGGGCCATTGTCGATTGGACCCCTCCTTGATCTTCGCAACACTTGGAGGGGCATGTTGGGATCTGCGGGGGCTACACGTGGAACCACTGCGTCTGGGAGCACCACCAATACATGAACCTTCCGGTCGATAGGCTCATCATCTTGATTGAAGAAGTACGAGACCCAATATGCAGCAGGCATGACCTTTTTGTCTGCACCAAACGTCTCCAGGGAACAATTCGTCATGTCGATCGTTGCTCCGTGGTACTCACACCGTCCATCCTCGTCAGCTGTCAGGCCATTCACACGGTACAGGTCTAGGGTATGAGCAAAATCGCCGTACATGATGTTTTCTTTGATGGCCTTCTTGAGGACATGAATAGTCCTGTTCGCGCCAACCTCGACTGAGAACGGCGGGCGTCCGTCGCCAACAACAGCACATACCAAAGTCGGCATATTCGGAAATGGTCGTAGGTTGCCAATTCCTTTTATTAGAATCTATCAGCCTTACTTCACAGTTCACAGGAAAAGGATATCAACCTAACTTTACCGTTGACGTGGGAAAAGGCTTAATCAACCAACGGACATTTCCGAATATGTCGACTTTGGTATGTCTTGCTGTTCATAGTTGAGTTGCCCTCAACGATGTTATCAATGTGAACATCGTGTATGGAGGTCTTGAAGCTATTTAACCGTTAACGCTACCGTTTGAATGTCCTGATCTGGAGTACAACGGGGCAATGATCGACATGGCGAATTGCATATGGAGACAATTGCCTTGGACACCATTAGGGAAAAGAGATTATTAATGCTTGGTGTGTCATGGATCTCTAAATAACGTTACTTAGTCAGCAGGTGCTACAGCTGCTTGCAGGAAGGATGGTAACGTTATGTGATTGTCATCCAGATATACCAATCGGCTATTCTACGAAGAACTACCAATCCATGACTACGGTACTGTACCTACTACTACTTTGTCATCCATCAGCATGACGGAGAACTTGCCCGCAATGATCCCAAGCGATGCCAAGTCGGGTCGAGTTGGCCCAACGCACAAACTGTACTCGTCAAATTCGATCTTGACGTTCAAGCTATGCACAAGTACATCGGAAACAGTTAGTGGAGGTGGCCAAGTACAGCCTGCACCTCACATCCCAGAAACACATGCGCCATGCTTTGCTGCATATCTTCTTTCGTTATCGTCGTAATGCACACAGTCTGCCCCCCGGACGGAAATACAAACTCCAACTCCCCATGCGCCTTGACATATTTCCCCTTGACGTATTCGACCACTTGAAGCTTCGCGTTGAAATTGAACAGGGAGCAGACACAGACAAGGATCCGGGCGACCACGTGAACCCGGGCAGCGACGGTCCCTTGCTCGATTGATTCGAAACACTTCGATGCAACGGACAGGTACTGGGCTAAAAGAGCAAGCTATGCATCCGGCACTATATGTATGACGTCGGCCACGTCACGTCAGCGAATTCCCTCGAGCTCTGCACGTTGACTCCATGGTTGGGGTTTTGAGGGGCTTGCGTGGAGCCACAGTGTCTGGGGCCACCAACGATACGCGAACGTTCCGGTCGATACACACATCGGCTTCGTCGAAGTATTTCGAGATCCACGACGCACCAATCATTAATATTTCTATCTTCCCCAAAGATGTCACGGTGTGATTCACCATGTCGATCGATGCCGTTGAATTCCAACTAGAGTAAGGGAAACATGTATTATTTGTTCTAATTGTTGGCGTGGACAATTGGTGAATATTATTTTACAGGTCACCTTGCATAATGTATGAGTTTCTCCTCCGATAGTAAACTACAGATAAGTATCCGATTACAGAGAACCCCGGAAATATCCGACAGGGGTTACAGCAAATTTTGTATGGGGATGTCGCCAGAGTAATAATATTCATTACTTTTTTATTGGTGCGTCGACGATGAATAAAATTACATCAATTTAGACAGGTGGTCGGATATTTTGGGGGGGTCGGATATTTGGGGGGGGTCGGACATTTCCGGGGTTCTCTGTACACTAGCACATACTAGTACTCGGGAGTAATTGAACAAATATTGCCGCTGAAGCCCACCAATATACCGGCAGTGTTTGATTCGACGTCTCGATCCACAAAAATCAATTATTGTAATTCTCCAGCCTCTCACAATCTATTAATTTATTTAATTTATTGCCAATTAGTTTTTTCGTCAAAATACGTTTTCCCATACCCTGTACCTCGTCGTCAAGTGTGTCTGGCGGTTCAAGCAGTGAAGGTCCATCCAGTACATGGAGAAGGGGTATATCGTCACGTTCTTGATCTTGTGTATGCGATAGGGAACGGTCTTGTTGGATTTCATCTCGATCTAAAACAGCAACAAACCAAAGTCGGCATATTCCGACGTGGGTGATAGTCAATCCCTCTACAAATCATACTAGCTTTTTCTTGTACTTCAGAGTTCCCATCATCAAAACTGAAAGAATATGTTCGGCATGAAATATCTAAAAATTACCACCAAATATCGGCGCATTTATTTCTCGCGTAATTTGGGCAAATTATCGAGTCGTCCAGATACACTATTTTCGAGAATTATATCTTTTGCCTGGCAGAATTGCCTTTTTCTGACAGAAGAATAATTAATGCCATGGCATCCACACCAGCAGCCTTAAAGCCAAGTTTTTGTCCATGTGTGGCCGTAATAAAGACATACATGGCATCGTGATATGGGGATAGCCAACATATACACGCCCCATACGTCGCCCTGAAAAGAGTAGGCCAATGTAGCTGCCTCTATGTACACATGCACTACAACAGTGTCGCAATTGACTGTGGTCATGAACGGCCAGAAGACCGGAAATATATACCATGACATTTCAATTAATAAGTTAAGCAGCACAGATTGCTGTCATGACGTGCGTGTTTTGCTTTGCACGAAAGAGTCAACACATTAGCTAAGCACCATGCGAACAAGAGCAATGTCGTTGCCAGGATCGTCGACGTCACGTTCGTCGTAGCTGTCTTCCTCGAGAATCGCTTCCATGCGGTGCAAACGCTCCGCGCGAATCCTCCGGTCTTCTCGCAGCGCTTGGCCGTACGTTGTCATCCGGTCTGCGAACTGCTTCCGTTGCATCATTCTGTCCACTCGGGAGACAACGTATACGTACACGCTCATAAGGCCGGCGCCTAGGAGCACATACACGACGGCCTCGAGATGCACAGCAGTGTCCATCGCGGCAGACAACTGCATCACATTCGCCGCCGAGCCAACGACGTCCATACCAAGACTCGTGCTGGAATTTGGTTGTTCTGAACATAAACCGTCAACTCAAGGCAAAATCATGGGAAATACACATTGGCCGCAACTTCAACTTGAATACTACTACAGTGTACTTCGAAGTAGTACGTCATAGTTAGGTAGTACTTACTACGTAGTACTACGTAGTATTGAACAAAAACACATCAACCACAAGAATACTAACCAGCACGGCAGGCCAGGAAGTATTACTTGATGTCCTCTGATCGATTAGTACTACTTGCTACAGTTTGACTAATGTAGTGCTGTGATTTCAACTTCGGTGGGAAAAACACATCTAATCGGGATATACACCTCGGATGCGCAACGTAGTAATGGGAAATACACCCTGACGCATTCTGAGAAGCCAGATGGAAAACCATCATACTACTGGTACTACGTAGTACTACGAGGCAAGCCCAACCACCACTGGTGGCACATTGACAGAGTACTGTAGTATACGTTGTATGTAGTGCGCGGTACACAGTACTTATAGTCGGAAGTAGCTTATGAGACTCCGGAGCATTCAAAATAGCACGTACAGATTTCGCTGTATAATCTTGACGGAAGTGTTTGTCCCTGGGACAAAGTGTTTGTCCCTGGGACATACTCAGGATGACCAATCGACGTCACACAACAAGAGGTCTAATTGACAACTTGGAGGACCAATCAGATTTTTCCATTTGAGAACTTCAAAGGTCACAATTTGCAATTTGACAATGAAGTAACTCACTGTCAAGTTGGGATATAAATGTATTGCTCTTCATGTGTATGAGCAGCACGGTAGGGTCTGTGATAGCCATAGCGTACTCGGCAACTCTTAAATTAGTAGTTCCATGTCAAAATGCTCAATTTTTCAATGGACGAACGTTTTCTAGCTGACATCTAGCTGACAAGTACAGTCCACTACCAACAGCCTTCGCCATTCCTTTACGGAACACGATGCATGCTTAACTGTAAGGATGTGGAAATGGGGTACTGTACCGTAATTGGTTAGTTACAATCCAATGACCAAGACATGTCGAAACCCTTCCCTCAATGGAGCCTTGAGCAACATCAGCGATATAATAAAATTGTCTGGTACACCACGAACAACCGGTCTATATATAGTCGAAATGATCTTGCTGCAATGATCAAGTCTACCAGCAGGTCAAACGTGAAAAGAAATCTAGCCTGAGTGCGATATGCGATATACCTTGTCAATAATGTCCCAGTCATACCATTAAAATCCAGTGTGCATATTCACGACGGCACCAAGAACCTCTACGCCCCACTTTACCATTCCATGATCACAACCCGCGTGAATATATATATGCACATTTGTATACGAATTAGCATTGCGGCGGTGCGTGCCTTTCTATAGCGTGTTCCAATGCACGATCCATTGTATCTATATATATATACATTTTCCACCCAGGTTTTTCTTCAGTGGTCTTATGTAAACGCTGTCCATGGCACCATATTGAGCGCTTGCAAATCGTTGGCAATCAAGTCGCTTCGGATGCCGAAATTCGGGCACTTGTTGGCTGTGAGGCTGCCGTGGTGGAGCGCCACTACGGCGTGGTCGGTGGAACTCAACACAGGGGAGCCGCTGGCCATGGGTCGCGTGTCCAACAGGTATGACGCTTCTAGGTTGGTCGTGGATTGGACTGTAGCTTTCCCCCACGCGGTTTTGTCAGTGATGCGTTTTCCCCACGCTTGGGGGTGTTGCACGGCGTAAATGGGCTCGCCAATGTTCGGACCGGCCATCCGGAGCTTCAAGTACGAATACTTGGCCACCACGGCGCGATCTAATTGGACGATCGTGTAGTCTAAATACTCGTTCGTGTACATAAACTTGGCGTTGCCTCGCCATACGTCGCCTGGACACGCCAGTTGGCGGTCGCATACCAAATCGCCGACTTTCGACGGACACGCCATCGCTTGCGCCATAAACTCAAAGCGAGTCTTCGACGCGTGGTCCTGGTTGCTAATGCAATGGTTGTTGGTGATAAAGTGACCCTCTGAACCGAGTAAAAAGCCCGTGCACCCAGTGAGCGCGCCATCCTTGTTGATCACGAGGCGCGCCACGGCCTTGGATCGGGCGTTCATGATGGGCGAGTAATTGAAACAAGCGGCTTCTTGGGTGCGCTCGACGTTCCCCCCACATACTGCTTCATGAGTGGGGGGGCTTTGCAGCACGGACGTGTACCCGACGACGCTGAAGCCCGTGCAGGGGGACTTCGTGGTGTAGCTTCCTACGAGGTTGGTTTTGGTGTACAATTCCAGGCGCAGGCGGGAGCCGCTGACGCTGGGTGCGTCGAACGCCCCATGATATTCCGCCCCAGACAATTTCACCGTTTCGCCCGTGTCGACAGACCGCAAGAGGACATAGTCCTTGGGTGGCAAGTTGAAATCGCTGAAGCGAACAATGATGAAGCTGTCGCCGCCGTTGTCGATTTCACGCTCAAAGGCGGGCTTGAAGCACCCCCGTTGCATTTGGAATGGATACCTTCCGTGGTCACATCCAACTCCAAACGACAACGGTACCACGTCTGCGAACGCGACCATAGCAACGAATGTAGCCCATAAGAGGGCTAGGAATGATACTTGCATGACGCAAGTTGGAAAATGAAACACATGATGATGGCATGCGAGCGACTGTAGAGGGGACGTTGAGCGTTACGCCAGGGCGTTCGTGAGGAGGGGTCAGCGCATCGTAAAATGTCCAGGTTGCTTGGGGGGGCGCCAATCTCGGAGGCAGAGTAAAAGAACCTTCTCCTGCACCGATGTAGTCAGTAGTACGATATTGATTGGATAAAATACAGGCATTTTTGCTCCAGATGTAGCCAATCCCGTTCGTGGCATGCAAGTTGGAAGCAGCTAATCTATTTACAGCACAAACCGTTTCACTGGCACGAGATTATTTTTGTGTGATGGACGACTGCCACGCAACACCACGACAAAACGTATTCCACCTCGAGTCAGCACCGATCGTTTCAATAGTCGATGGTTATACACGTGATCGCGTTGTTGTGGTGTACACTGGCTGTGACAGGTCACAGTTCATTTGTACCTGAGCGTCGAACGCTAGGCTGCACCAACGTCGCGGTGTCGTCCTCCACGTTCGTGATCTCGTCCAATCCGTATTCGTCGGCGTTCCTGGCTCTCCGGTTTTCGGCGTTTTCGTTGGCCCCAAATGACTACGTCGTCCTTCGATCCGTCGACGACTCGACGATTCCGCGAGTGTACCTCTTTGCCAACGAATCCCTTGGCATACCGTTTGACGCGCCGCCCATCTCGTCCACACGCGTGGAAGTCTCTCTTGTTGTAGCACCAGAAAACAATGCGCACTCGCCATCCTCTTGCGTCCAGGTCAGCGGGTACACGTCCGAGCTGGCCCGGCCCCCCACAAACGAAGCCGTCTGCGGACTCGATCGAACGCAAGAAGCAGTGTGCTACCGCATGTCGGCACCGACCATGTTCAACAAATCGAACGCGGTGGCACGCCTTGTGATCAACAAAGGGGGTGTCCTCACCGGGTGCACGGGGTGGCTGCTCGGGTCGGAAGGCCACCTCGTGACCAACAACCATTGCATCGAAGATGCATCGCAAATCGTCGGCCTTCGCATCGAGTTTATGGCGCAAACATCGAAATGCCCGCAGTCGATCCAGGACAAGAACTGCATGCGGCAACTGGCGTGCGTTGGCGACGCGTGGCGCGGCGACGCCGCGGTGTTTATTTATACAAACAAAGCACTCGATTACACGTTGATTCAACTTCGCCCCAGCGGAAACCACAGCCCGGGGAACAACAACAATAACGTCGCGACCAAGTACGGGTACCTCCAGCTCCGCGCGACTGGCCCAGAAATCAACGAGCCCATTTACATTGTCGAGCACCCCCAAGCATGGGGTAAACGCATTTCAGACAAAACGGCCACGGGGCGGGCCGTGGTCACTGGACTGAATGCCTTTGAAGCCGAGTATTATTTGGACACGCAGGCCATGTCCAGTGGGTCCCCCGTGCTTGCCGTCGAGGACGATGCCGTCATAGCATTGCACCACGCAGCCTATTCCACCTGTCCTAACCTGGGCGTGAAGAGCGACCTCATCGTGGCAGACTTGGTCGCCCAAAATCTCGTGCCCCAGGATGCTGTATTGTGGAAGCCGCGCAGCACGGGCATATAACTACCGGTACTGGCAATCCATCTCTCCAGTTCAGTTAGATTGAGGCAATTCCCCTAACGTTAGCCGTTAGTTGATACGTCGACGTAAGAGTTTTAGTGTTACTGTCTGTAGGTGGACGTTATTATTCAAAACGGCGGTGGCACTCATACTGACAACGTTGTGACAAAACTCGAATCCCATAGTGTTGACGTGCTATTTTGCAAACGCGAATGTTTATCGCAGCAGATGGTGGAAATGATGTGATAATTCCTACGAGAAAGCTCAGCTACTATCAGTTGAGCTCACTGTAGGTAGGTTCAAACAAGTACAGTAACAATGAACACACAAAGGAGGGTCCATATTTTGCAACATTTGGTCAAGTATGAAATAATAATAAAACGAATTCCTGTGATTGAGTACGTGGTAGTAGTATTGTTGTGTTTATTCTAAACTGGAACATGGAGAATGAATCGACCACAACCAAATGTATTACAGAAGAATACTCGGCAGAAGGATTTAGCCAATCAGATTGCAGGAAGCCATCATCAAGATTGACAGCAACTATTAATAAGTGTGATACCAATCACACAGGACAACTTTTTACATACAAAATTCAGTACAAATAATCGATCGATAGAATTGGCGATTCAGCACAAAAGTAGTCCATATTTTGGGTAAAAGGACAATAACGACCACTTTGTGCTTGTTTACCTATCGACGATTCTCGTACACTGATGGAAAGTACAGTTACCTCGCACACTAATTGAAGTCCCCCACGAACTTTTGTGCTACAATCTGATTGGCTAAAAACGTCTCGCTTGTGTCGGTACGTCGTGCCAGTTTCAAGTGAAACCAACAAGTTCAAGCCTCAATCCAAGAGCAGCAGCTAGCTAGCTAGCTACGTCGAGCATGGAGGCAACGCTGCGCAAGAAGACCAGCGTCAAGGATACCACAGGAACCATCAACAACAACCACGTGTTGGAACCGCTGCAGACGTTGCACCAATATGCAGGTAAGGCACACATTTACACACTCGCTCGTTCGTTCAGGTCTCGTTACACGCATCATCATGGGCAGAGTTGTTGGACAAGGCTCACCACCACTACAACCAAGGCAAGTACAAGGATGGCGTGATCGTGTGTGAGCAACTGTACGAGGCCGACGCGGCGCGCACGGACAACCTGTTGTTACTTGGCGCGTTGCATTTTCAACTGCGCAACTTTTCCGAAGCCATTTTTTACAACCAGCAATGCATCCGCATCGACCCGCACTTCGCCGAAGCATTTGGCAACCTTGGTAGGTTGATCGTGTGAATCCATTCCATAGGACGAAATGCTCTTGGTGTTGCTGGATATATTGACGATGCTCTGATCGGTCTACATGGCCGTAGGCAACGCCCTCAAAGAGATCGGCGACAGCCAAGGCGCGATTCAGTTCTACTTGCGCGCCATTAAACTCAACCCCCGCTTTGCAGACGTGTACAACAACCTCGCGACCAGCTACATGCAACTGGGGGCCACCCACGAAGCGATTGAAACGTACAAAATGGCTCTGGTCCTTGGTGCGTCCTCAATATATACATTCATACTGTCGACTATAATACTACATTTGAAATCCATCCAAAAGGTATCATTTATGACACGACCTCGTTTTACTTATATATATATATATGTAGGCATTCCTTTGGAATCGTTCTCGACCATCATTCATATACCCTTGTAGTCCTACGAGATATGAGTATATATATCATCACACCCCTGAAGGACCAAGAACCCAATTTTGCAATACATGTTTATAAGATTGTACACTGTTGATGGAATCGTTCAAAAGAATATATATGTATATATAATATATACATATATATTCTTTTGAACGATTCCATCAAAATATATATGTATATATAATATAGACATATATATTCTTTTGAACGATTCCATCAAAATATATATGTATATATAATATATACATATATATTCTTTTGAACGATTCCATCAAAATATATATGTATATA